TCGTCCTCCTCGAGAACCCTGGCCCCAGCCGTGTTTGGCGCTGGCGCCCCCTGGAGAGGGAGCTCCGCTACCACAGGCCCGGCAGGATCAAGTGCGATTCCTGCCGCTTCGGGGCGCCCTTCAAGAAGCCGGGGGCGATCGCCGGCACCCCCCCCAACCTAGAGCTGCTGGGCCGCCGCTGTCAGTGCTGCCAGCCGCATCGCGAGGTTCTCCAGGGCAAAGTCCGACATCCGACGAGAGGTTGGGTTTGGCGGACTACCTTGGCCGGCGCGTACCTCCCAGAGTGGTGCCGAGAGCTCGTGCGTATCGCCTCCCTCTCCGCCCCGAGGTCCGCCTATGGCCGAGCCACGCCCAGAGACCTCGCGACTTGGGATGGGGTCCTGGCAGCCGCGTCGGGCGAGGTCCGCCTCCGCGCCCCAGGGCTCCCGCTCTGCCCGCAGAGGTTCAGGCTCCCCTGGCGAGCCGCCTGGGCCTCCGCGCTCGACCCGCGCCCTCGCCCCGCGGGCGGCGGGCGGGCCTCGCGGCGCCGCCCCGCCCCCAGGCGGAGGCCGGGCGCCGGGCCGCCGGGCACTGGCGGCGGAGCGCCGCAGGCGAGCAGCGGCAGCCGTGGACCGCGCCGAGCAGCAGCGGCAAGCCCGTCGAGTCCCTCCAGGGGATTTCCTACGTACGGCCTCGTTGCGGCCAGCGACCCTGACAAAGTATCAGCAGGCCGTCGCCGACTTCGAGGCCTGGGCACGACGCAAGCGTCTTCTCTTTGACGATCCCAAGTGCGCCGACACGACAATGAACCTGTACATCGAGCACCTCTTTTTCTCTGGTTCACCTCAGTACATGGCTCGCAATGCTCTCTACGGCCTTGCCCGACTACGTGGATGGGCAGTGGCCAAGCCTCAATTCGTGCGATCCAAGGACGCCCTGGCGGGATGGTGTGCCAAGCTGCCTCGGCATCCTAGGATGCCCGCCCCCTTCGACGCCGTGGTCGCCTGCATGGCGGCCCTCTCGGAGCGCTCGCCTCTGGGGTCCCTCGCCGCCGTGGCCATGCTCGTCCAGTTCGATCTGTACTTGCGGCCCAGTGAGGTGCTCTCCATCACGGCAGGCGACGTCCACGGGGGCGCAGGGGGCCAGGTCTCCGTCATCATCGCGCCTCTCACAGGCGGAGTGCCCTCCAAGACGAATGAGTTCGACCGCGCCGTCGTTGCTGGCACCCCTGTCCCTCTCAGACGTCAGGTTCCGGCTGCGCTGCTTGCCCTTCGTAGGGGCCGAGCAGACGCAGCCAAGCTTTTTGCTCCTTTGAATCTCAGTGCATACGAGAGGATAGTGCGAGGAGTGGCCTCCGACTTAGGCCTTTGCCACGTCTTCTCTGTGCCTCGCCAGCTTCGGCACGGTGGCCCCTCGCATGATGCCTTGGAGCATTTGCGCAGCCTGGATCAGATCCAGCAGCGAGGAAGATGGCGCGCACGAGGGTCAGTGCGCATCTATGAAAAGCACGGCTCTCTCTTGCGTCAGCGTGCGGCCGTGCCCGCCGCCGTCCGCCAACGTGCTGCCCATTTCTCGGCGGCGGACCTGCGGCACCTCGTCTCTCGCGTGGCCTGTTCGAGTAAGGTGCCCAGCTAATCTTCTTCCTTTCTGTCTTTTTTCTTCCCAACCCGCCCACCCAATGACGAATGATTTGGGGGTGGGAGCCAATGCTACGCAGTCTTTTCTGGCAATTCGATCCGGGCCCGGGCCCTTTTCCCAATAGCTGCCACGCAAGCTCAGCATTATAGAATCTCAAGTGCACCTCGTCCTGTGTAAGGACGCGTCCTCAGCAAAAAGGATCGTCCGTCTCAGGTATGTCGAATGGTGGCCGCGCCTAGCTTGAGGAATGATTATCTTTGGATGCAGTTTTCCTCCGCGTCGAGCGGCCAAGCGAGAGGGTCTCCACCCCTTCCTTCTTTCTCCCTTGCTGGTCGCCCCTGCTGCTGCTCTCCCCTCTCGCGGCCATTCTGGTTTCAAGGCTTCCCTCCCTACCCACCCTGGGGAGCCAATGCTACGCAGTCTTTTCTGGCAATTCGATCCGGGCCCGGGTCCTTTTCCCAATAGCTGCCACGCAAGCTCAGCATTATAGAATCTCAAGTGCACCTCGTCCTGTGTAAGGACGCGTCCTCAGCAAAAAGGATCGTCCGTCTCAGGTATGTCGAAAAGTGGCCGCGCCTAGCTTGAGGAAGTTCTTTTTCTGGCAGCGGCGGGGTTGGCGGCTGCGCGAGGAGGTTGGGGTGCGATGCAGCGTGTCTCGACCTGAGAAGAGGGCCAGACCAAGACGCGTGCAGCTCCTTCATTCTCCCAGTGATTAAACTGCATGTTAGGAAGGGTCTGGTGAAAGTGGCGATGCTGCGCCTCCTTGCTCGTCATTTTCGCATGCTCGGAACCGCTATCTTGTCAGGGGCGCTCACCTAGGGCTTCCACATCGGGCCACAGACAGGAGGCCGGTGCGCGCTGGTAATCCGTGTATGAGGGCGGCTGTTTTTATTACGAGACTGTGTCGCGAGTACCAGGTGCCCTTTGCCTGGGAAAATCCTCTGACCTTCTGACCTCGTGTATGTGGCGCTGCCGAGATATAGTCTCGCGCGTGCTGCCTTATTGTCAGGTGACCGATCTGCATCGACTTTCTTTTGGATCAAGGTGGAGAAAGGCGACCCGGGTGGTTTTTGGCTGTGTGACCAAATCTGGGGACTTGGTTTTTCTGCGCCAGGGCCGTTTAAAATGTCACGGGGAGCATGGTCTCTGTTCTTTCAGAGTTGGACGCAAGCGCGTCGCTCTCGAAGGGGAGGATCTGATTGTTCGATTTGCTAATTCTCTTTCTCGAAGGTCACTTGCGAGGGCTGGAGGGGTCTTTAATTCTGTTGAATCCCAAGGTCGACGCCTTTTCCGTCCCCGTAAAATGGTGTGTGCCGCTCCGCTGAGAACTTCGGTTTTGCGAAATGTATGGGCGATGAGTCCTGCCGTTACATGGCTCGAACCCCCTGGTCGCGACCGTGAGGTATCATAGTTCACCGCTGAAGAAAGAAGACTGAGCATGAATGTTCGTTGCGCGAGTTTGCTTCGTTTCTTTGTATTGTTGCCGCCCCACAGCAGCCTCATCCCGACGCTGCTGGGGCTCAAGCTTTCCCACCCACGGCCGCCCAGGACCTGTCCTACATAGTGCGCGCATTTTCCTGCGCGTTTTCTTTTTCTTGTATATTCCACATATGTGGGCGATGAACCCTGCCGTGGGCGATGAACCCTGCCGTTGCATGGCTCAAGCCCCCTGGTCGCGACCGTGAGGCATCATAATTCACCGCTGAAGAAGAAGTCTGAGCAGGTCAAAGCCTTAAAACATAAAAACATCAGTCACTTTGGCTTATTGGGGCCCTCTTGGGAGGCCTCTTCGGGCCCTCTTGGACCGTCTCGGGGGCCTCTTGGACCGTCTTGACGCCATATTGGGCGTCTTGGTGCGATCTTTCGGCGACCTGGGGCCCTCTTGAACCGTCTGGAAGGCCTCTTGCGGCCCTCTTGGCCGTTTTTGGGGGCCCTCGTGGCTCCGAAAACGTCGCGCGAAGAGCCGCGCCATGGTTCGGGGGGCACGCGGCAACCCGGAGGAGATTTGGCAATTTGGTGGTTCGGGTCCGTTTTGAAAATCCCCAAGAGCGAGGGCTGGGGTTCAGAGAATTTGGCAAAGGACCTGAGGACACGCCCAGTCCGTGCCGAAGGGCACGGTGGCGGACAACATGATTGTAATCTTGGGTGTTGATGATGGCGATGACGGTGGTTATGAACGACGAGTAGTGCGGAGGAGGAAGAGGATGAACAGGAGCAAAACCAGGAAGAGTACCAGAAGGTTGCCTGTTTCATCCGCGTGCAAAGTCGTAGAGATGCTTCCGCTGTCTTGTCTTTTGGTGGGAAGTCTTGCAGCCATCACCCCACCTTTGGTTTCCCCCATTCCGAGTTTTTTTTAGCCTCTCCTTGCCTCTCCTCCCATCCTTGCCTACCCTGTCTATGAACAGGACGCGTTTCATGATCGCTTCGTTTGTGTTTTGGGGCGCCGTTAAAAATCGCGTTTCTGTCTCTGTATCCGCCTTTGTGTACGCCTGGTTGGCATCATCGTGGTTTCTTACTCGACATCGTTGCATGCATCATGTTCGTCACCACCGCATCATATTGACCAATGCTGTCGATCGTTTCCGCGTGTGCCCCGCCAAACTACAGCCCTGTTCACATACGCAGGTGTGAGCGCAAACTGATATCTCTGCGGCGACGCTCACTGCCCTGACTGTGGCTGCCCGTGCCGTCTTCCACGGGTGTCATAGCAGTTCCGTCTGCATGTGCAGTCTTTCTTGGACGACGCCTCCGTCTGGAGGTTTGGCGGTATCTTCTCGGGTGCAGTTTGTCCACATTGTCCGCTGTTGATACCATGTAGATCGCAGTTTGTTCATATCGTCTCGCTGTCGGGTGCAGTGTCTCCCTATTGTCTCGCTGCCCCAACTCATTGTAGATCTCTGGGCAGCGCGTGCCAGTTTTGGGTGCGAGGGTGCCCGACCAACAACCTTCAGCGTCCAACAGCTGCTTAGACAGACACTACCGCCGTCCGCCTCCCTCCCTCATTCGGCGGTGCGCCGAGGGGGGAAGTGCGATGGGGCAGGTCTTCTCAGAAGGCTGCGGGGCTTCTCAGAAACCCTCCAGCCTTTTGCGAAGCCCTCTGTTTTCGGAGAAGGCCTAGAACTCTTCCGAGAAGGCCGGAGGCCTGCGGAGTCTTCCGAGAAGGCCCGCCCCCTCTGCGGCGGCCGGTCGGGACGATCTGGGCACCCTGGGAGCGCTCTCGGCGAGGCGCGGCAGCTGGAGAGCACCCCGGGGCCGGAGAACCCCCGCGAACCGACGAAGGCGTCCACACACCTCAGGCCGCGAACCTCGAACCCCCCTCGGGCACGAGGCCGCACGACGGAAGCCCTCTCCCCGCGGCGCTCGCCGCCGACTTGCGACGCCAG